AGTAAGACCAATAAAAGCCATCTGCTTTAAAAACAGTAACAACAAAATCTTGTTTAAGCAAAATGCATAGTGGAAATTGAAATTTGAATATTTCACAAAAGAAATATGGCTTGATTATTTTTTTAATGAAATTTAAGTGGCCAGTCTTAAGAAAGTTAATTTTAAGCACAACTTTCAAGACATATTTTATCAAATGTGGAGTTAATAAACACTGATCTCCCCCACCCCCCAAAAAAGTGAATCTTTTTGAATGTGTGACTACTGTTTTAACCGTCTTACAAAGAGATGAAAACAGATTTTGTCAGTTGTTCTGTAGCCTGAATCTGTATCAGTAGGGCATAGTGTATTGCTTTTATATACTGTGATAGTCAGTTTTTTATTAGGAATAAACAAAGTTTGGTAGTCAAAATAAGTATAGCTTCATTTATCTCCCTCTCTTTTAACTTCCAATATTTTAAATCTGATTTTTCCAGTTTTATTGAGAAATAATTGACAGATACATCACTGTATAAGTTTAAGGTGTACATCATGATGGTTTGATTTATGTGCATATGTAATACGCATATGTGTGTGTATATGCATATTACATAGGATTACTACAATAGGTTTGGTTAACATCTATCATCTCATAGATAAAATAAAAAGAAAAAAATTTCTCCTAATGATAAAAAGTCTTAGGATTTGTTTTCTTAAAGTTTCCTATATATCATACAGCAGTGTTAACTCTAGTCATCATGTACAACATTCCCTAGCACTTATTTATCTAATAACTAGTAATTCTGATTTTTATATAGAATTTCTATGTTATCAAGTCATTTTTTTCAGGTTTAGCTTAATTTTAACAATTCTTATAGTATTTTAATGCTATAAAATTTTATTAATTTCTTTTACAAAATTTACCTGTGGTCTGAAACATTAAAGAGAATAAAGGAAACATTTAGGGGAGATTAGAGAAGGGATTTAACGCTATCAGAAGAAGGGGTCATAGGAAAGGAAGAAATTGATATTTCAGAAAATTAAAGTTTAAAGCATCATCTTTCAAGACAAAAAAGATAAAGTATGAAAACTGAAAGTTATTTAAATGTTAATATTTCAGCCTAGAAACACTTATAGCCACAAGAGGGCATTACTGTGTAACTCAGCCTTTGAGTGCCGAGAATCATAGATGAACTATAAGAGGCCTCACATGGTTTGGTTATCTCAGAAGCTCATTCCTCCCATTTGTGCTCTTCCAGCACTCCCTACATTTACTTTCTTTAGCTGTCCACCTTTTCTGGGTTCTTCTTCCTAGCAAGAGCCCCTTCTTGCTAGAGACATTCTTCTACTTCGAAAATAATTGGGCTGTGTACCATCCTTGTTCATGTCTGTGACTTTTGTGTAGTTCTCAGTGGTTGACTCAAAGTTGACTCTGGTTTCTAAATCTAGGTGCATACCCAAGTCCTTTGTGGTTTAAAAATTTCTAGTTGTTTTCTTCATAGACCAGTTGGCAACAGCATTAATTTTATATCCTGGGAAGGCCAAGCTCTAAGCTAGTAGAAAAGGCCTTCTTGGTTCTTGGTTAGCTTTTTGTCATCAAGAATCAGTGTCACGGCCTTCCAGTATTGTTTGCATGATCGGTGCAGTTAATGGGGGTAGATTTGTCTTTCAGTTTACTTCACATTTCTTCCTTGGTTTTTGAAGAAAGGATTAGATATCTGTGCTCTAAACTTCTAAGAAATTTAAATTCATTCACCTGATTCACTCATATCATATTCACTCATAAATCTTTTATTTTGTACCATTTTTAAAGCCTTACTTTAGACTATATGCAGAACTGTATGGTGAAGGTAATCTGATTGAATCAATGTTCTAATCATGCAAATCATATTTCAGGTACTTGGCAAAGGCTAATTAATAAAGCTTATGTTATTTCTAAAGCTGATTGTATTCTTAAACCATTTTTGAAAATGAATTCTAAAATTAAGTCTTTGCTGAAATTTGAATGGCTGTGAGCTATTTAGTTTTTGTTTGTTTTTTTTTAAGCTTTTCTGAGTGCACGCATTTATTCATTTTTGGGTGGTGTTTATTGGAGGCTGGGAGTATAGTGACATTGCCTTATTGTGCAGTTACTATATTCTTTGACTTTTCTAGACTAATTGGGTTAAAATAAGGTTGTCACCAAATAATGCTTCCTTTCCCTTTTTTCCTGTTTACATTCTTCCTTTTTTAATGATAGTCAAATTCTTTTTCTAGATTTGTCCCTTCTGTGGTATAGATTGATGTTGCAAGATGAGTTTGGTGGGCCAAATAAAACTTTGAATCCTTAATGAGTGTCTTTATCAGCTGGTTTGAAAACTGTCTTTTGGTTGAAAGAATAGTTCTGAGAAAGAGATTTTTGTCTAGTTACAAACTTGAAGTTGTGATTTATTTTGCTTCTGGCTGAAGATCTGTGTTAATTTGATTGCATCACCCCTGTGATTTATTTTTTATTTCTGAAACTTTTGAGAATTGCCTAGTTTAATGTATTTACTTATGTATGTATAATTGCTGTTTAACCTGTTTTCATAAAATATTGGAGGTAGCATTTTTTTTTAACACAGTCTTAACTAGTTCAGATACTATGATGAACTTATTGATTAGAGTTAAAGTCACCAGAAAGGGGAAAAAACATTAACTGGAAAATAATTTTATAATTTATCACAATTAGATTGATAGGAATATCACTATTTTCCTCAAATCTTTCATTTATGTATACTTAGAAAAATTATGTTCCTAAGCCTAAAGTTAAGTATATAATTTAAAAAGCTAAAAATTTCTTCTTTGGAAATCTTTAATATGAAAACACTGTAGTACCTCACTATAACTCAATACACATATTTGTGCTTATCTTACAGCACAGTAGACAAACCACTGTTAGATATTACTTTTATTATTATATTAGTTGGGACTCGGGGGAAGCCTCACAGTGAGAGTTGGACAAAAAGATGAGGAAAAACTTAACCTAAGAGAAGTTCAGTTCAGTCGCTCAGTCATGTCCGACTCTTTGCGACTGCATGGACTGCAGCATGCCAGGCTTACTTGTCCATCACAAACCCCCTGAGTTTGCTCAAACTCATGTCCATTGAGTTGATGCCATCCAACCATCTCATCCTGTGTTGACCCTTCTCTTCCCACCTTCAATCTTTCCCAGCATCATGTTCTTTTCCAATGAGTCAGTTCTTCATATCAGGTGGCCAAAGTATTGGAGCTTCTGCTTCAGCATCAGTCCTTCCAGTGAATATTCAGGATTGATTTCCTTTAGGATTGACTGGTTGGATCTCCTTGTAGTCCGAGGGACTCTCAAGAGTCTTCTCCAACACCAAAGTTCAAAAGCATCAGTTCTTCGGCGCTCAGCTTTCTTTATTGTCCAGCTCTCACATCCATACATGACTACTGGAAAAACCATAGGTTTGACTAGATGGACCTTTGTTGGCAAAGTAAGAGAAGTTAGGGGACATTGAAGTTCTTTTATTTCAGATACAAGTCATGTTTAGCTACTTTGAGTTATACACGCAGCCCCTAGCACAGTACTATCCACATGTGAATTATATAAAGGCAATCTGGTTTTAGCATTGTTTCCAAGAGATTTTAATTGCAAAATTAGAAACCTTTTATTATATTTTTATGGTCTTTTGAAATTTGAGCAAGAATTAACCACAGTATCTCAGGAAATCAATATTCTAGCTATGTTTCTTTTCCTTCTAATCTTCCTATTGGTTTCCAGTAGAATTTGGCATTGAAAACTAAGGTTGATCTGTTTTGTACCTATGTTTAAGATATAAATCATCATACTATACTTGGTGCATTTTGTTAGATTAGCAAACCCACTGTTTTTACTGAAGCACGTGTAAACATTTAAACATAATTTTAAGGATTCAGTAAAAGTGAGTATTCCAAAAACACAGACTTTTAATTAAGTACATTTTTCTTTAGATTGGTTCCTATATAACTAGGAACTTAACCTTCTTTTCAGTAAACTATTAAAAGAAGGGCTTGCAGTTCAACATAAAATGTATTAGTCACTTGATATTGTACATTGAAAAATTATTTTAAAAAGATACTTAGGGTTGGGGTCATTTATGGTAAAATTGAACCAGAAGATGGCAGTGATGATCCTCTTATACTCCCTGAAATGGTAATCAAAAAGTTTACAAGTATAATAGCATGAAATACTCATGTTCAACTTTTGGTATCTAATGTTAAAAGTAACAAGTTAGGGGAGAGCATTTGCTGTTTGTTTTATATACTATGAAAAATGTGTATTTTTCTATAAGAAGGGATTAAGAATATTTTGGGTGTCTGTATCTTTGTCTGTACACTTCAGTTTTTTCTGAATACTGGGGTAAGGAAGTTACCATTAAGCCTTGCCTTGTTTAAGTTGCATGTATCACTTTATGTTATGCATCATGTCTAGAAGGCATGTTGTTTTATGGCCTGTTTGCATTTTTCACCCAAATTGCTGGAAACTAATGAACTTTTAAAGGAGTCATTCCTTTACCAGTAGTCATTTCTCTATAAATTGGCTCTTTTTATTTATTTTTTTTTTGGAGGGGAAAATTATATCATTTAAGACATTAATTTTTTTTGAAAGAAAAGATTGACAAAAAAATAAATGATCTGGTGATCTTAAAAGCAAAAAGTTAGAAAGGGGAGAAGGAATGCTTTCCTTTGAAAATTAGTACCCACATTTGGTGTTGGCCGAGATGAAAATGCATCCTTTCATAATCTTGCCTTTTTTTTTTTAATATAAAGCCCAAATGCATTTTGCCAGAGAAATTGCATGAATCGTCAGCATGCGTTGTTAACTTTGTCTTTCTCCTCTTCTTTTACTGTTCATTTTCATTCATGTACTTTTGTTTTTTGGTTTGCCATTATTTTTTCTTTTTTGTTAATTACTTCATATTAAATTACTTTTGAAACGTCATAAGCTGAGCAACCTCTCCGTGTAGTAACAGCGGATACCTGTCTATTTCACTATTTAGTCCCTCCTCCTATGTCTCCATCCTCCAAATCTGTGAGCACACCAAGCGAAGCTGGGAGCCAGGACTCTGGAGATGGCGCGGTGGGATCTAGGTACAGTAATCTTCTTTCAATATCTTAATGATAGAATGCATTTACTACCCAGTTACTGTCAGTGGTATAGAGCAACTCTAAATAGTTATGTTGAGTTAGTCGTAACATTTTAAAATCTAAATGACACAGAAATTGTTTATTGTAAATTGGGGGGAAATTTTTTAAAAACATTATTTTACTGTCACACTTGATTAATTTAGCTACTGACTAGTTAACTGATTTATGCTGATTTTCTTATATTAAAAATAGAAGTGTTAATTCATTTAATTATTTTTTCTATTTAAGTAGTAGTGTATTGGTTATTATGTGAGTGTTTTGGGTATAAATAGTGTAAACCCTCTTATGCTTAGTTTCCATCTGGTAATTGAAATAAACGATTCAGTTAAACAGCCTAATTCTATTAAGTTATTCTAATAGGTAGAAAATAATGCATAAAATATCAAGAATAAGGAATAATTGCTAAGGAAACATTGAGTGTTTACTGGCTTCAATAAAAATTTTAAAAAGTATTTACTGGCTTGAGGGCATTATGCTAAGTGAAAGAAATCAAAGGGAAAAACAAATACTGTATGATCTCACTTATAAGTGAAATTCAAAAAACAAAACTAGCTCATTGATACAGAGAAAAGATTGATTCATTTTTATTTTCATTTTTAAAATTTTTGATGTTTGCCAGAGGTGGGGGAGGTAAGGGGTGGGCAAAATGGGTGAAGGGGGTCAAAAAGTACAAACTTCCAGTTATAAGTCATGGAGATATAAATGTCCAGCGTGGAGACTGTAGTTAAGTTTAACTACATATATATATATATGAACACCTTATGGTGGTTTAGTTGCTAAATCATGTCTGACTCTTGTGACCCCATGGGTTGTAGGCTGCCAGGCTCCTCTGTCCATAGGATTTTCCAGGCAAGAATACTGCAGTGGGTAGCCATTTCCTTCTCCAGTAGTTAACAATAATATGTTGTATATTTGAAAATTGCTGAGAGATTGGGTCTTAGAGAAAGAGAAAATCGTAAGAAAAAATTTTGTAACTATGTAAGATGGATGTTAACGAGACTTATTATGGTGATCATTTCACCATATGTACAAATATCAAATCATTATGTTATATACTTGAAACTGATATTATATACCAGTTATACCTCAATTTAAAAAAAAAGGTCACTGCCAAGTTTTCCTGAACTTGCATCTTCCTTGTAAAACAGTATCTCACATTTGTTTTATCATCCTGCATACATGTTGGGACTTGATTTTCAAACATTCAGTAAGATTTCAACTTCTTTCCAAGTACCATACTGAGAAAAGTATTACTTCTCTGCCACACTCTGAATAAGTCTTTATTTAACAACATCTTACATTTTGATTTCTTTTGGCAACTGAAATGAGACTAAACATAGCCAGTTAAAAAGCTTTATTCAGAATCCTTATTTGGGGCTAGGAAGTTACATGTCTTCCTCAGGAAAACCTAAACACACCTTTTAGTGAGAAGTAAGCTAAGAAGTTTTATCTTCGTGCCCAGGCACCTCGATTGAAGTTGCAAACAAGTAATGAGTATCTAAAAGACAAGACAAAAAAAGAAGAAAAGGGGCTAACTAATCCATAAACTCAGTCCTTTAATCACTTTCTGAATAATCAAGTTGTCATTAACAATTAGAAGACACAAAAGGCTTACCAGTCTGAGTTTGAGATATGCTTTCCAAACCTGTTCTGTTTATAGAACTGAAACTGCAGATTTAAGCGATAATCTTTTTGGATGTTAAGTGACATGATAAAAGAATATATTATAGATTAAAGGCTGAATTTATTTAATCTAAGTTCATTTTTAAAGGCTAAATTTGTTTCATGCTTTTGTACTTCTGTATTTTTATACAAATATGTTAGTATTCCTTTCCTAGTAAACAAGTGGCATTTTCAGAAGGGTTTTATTTTCCCTTTGTAATACATTACCAAAGTAAAAATATTTCCCAAGGTAAAAAACACACAAAAAATATTTATTAAATTTCTTTACTTGATATTATATATTATTTTAATGCCTATACTGTATTGTGTTAATTCTTTGTTCTTGATTTTGAACAGGAATAGAAAGATTACTCTAATGCAGCATCAGCTAGTTTGCTTTCAAAAATACTATGTAGCATGTATGCAAATTAAAATATGACCACCTGAGTTTCATTGGAAAACCTAAAGACTATTAGAGAGATCCAATTGGAATATTGTAAATTGGTATAGGAAGTAAATAACTGTTAAGAAATATGTTATTTTGTTAGAATACATATTATTTGAATTGCCAATTTAATGTTAAGTGCTATAGGCTATCACAGAAAATAACGTTCTTGGTCCTTGCCTCCATGGAACTTGCATTCTAATGCTCATTAATTTACATAACTTAAATATAGTATTCACTGTATTGAAAAATCCTAAGAATAATGTGCTAAATTGTGTTTAAAGTGTAGATTTGTAGATGTAAAACAAGAAAATGAGAAGTATCTTTAGGGGTATGTATTTTTATTTTTTATATTATGAAAATATGATAACATTTACAGGAGACTTGGAAAATACAGAACAAAGTTACATATAGTTCCACTATATTGCAATTTTTAAAAATACATAAGTATTTTTAGTTGGAGTTTCAATATCAAACTCTCAAAAATTAGTAGAATGAACAGACAGAAAAGTAGAAGGATAGACCTGAAAAGCACTATGAACCAATTCAACGTAATTAAAATCTATACAATTTTCACACAATAGCAGGATACAAATTCTATTCAAGTTCCTATAGACCTGGAGACACTGAAACATATCCAGGGACATAAAACAAGATGCAAAAATTTCATGGTCTAAAGGTATTGAAATCATACCTGTGCTCTCAAGTCTGTTATCACTGTGAAATTATGTTAGAAATCATGATCAAAAGATATTTTAAAACAATCCACATATTTTCAAATGCAATGTGACAATTACCAAGAGAGATCTCTGACTTAGCTATTGAAAGCCTCAGTAAAGTTAAAAGACTGAAAAATGACACAGGGTGGTTGCAGAGAAGAAAGCATTTGAGAAATTAATATCAAAATGAGAAATTAACATCAAAGATACTTTTAAAAAAGGGTATTTATTTTTTTATTAGAGAATGAGTACAAGATAATGGGAGAGAAATTCTCTTTTTGAATGAGATGACTTGATATCTTTTTAGCCTTAATATATATGTCATCTCCTTTGAGAATCCAAACTAATTTTTAATTGTTAATTTTCAAGAGGACTAAATATATTCACTTTTTAACATATATGTACACACAGCAAGAAAACTGTGAATTCCTTTAAATCACCTCCAGATTCCATAATAGAGAAATAATTAATATTGTTGATTAATTGATGATATTGGCAGTGAAGTAATCGCGTTTTAAAATATGTGACTTTTTAAAAGAATGCTGGAGTCTGAGAAAGAAAAAGAATGGATATAAATTGAGCTGGCATGATGATAATGAAAAAATAAACAGCAAAATGCATGAAGATGTGTGATGTATAAACCTGTACACTCAACTCCTTTAGCTGTCCAAGACAGTCGATGGATTACTGCACTTGGGGAATAGGAAAAAAACATATTAGACATTTCCAAGTATGATATCAAAACATCTGAATCACAGTTTCTCAATGCCAAAAGTTTCTGTTTGGCCTGGTGGTAATTTATGAATAAATACATAGGAGGCCATGAAAAGTATTTCTGTAACTTTGCTGACTGGCAAGTTGCATATCATTAAGATTCTAGTTCACTTTCTCAATCACTTCTGTTAACTCTAAGATTTAGATAACAGTTATTCAGTGAGTAATCCATGCTCCTTTTTTTACATCCTTTATCAGTTTATCTCTTGGGACTTTTGATTATATGTGTCAGGATTATATTAAAATTTTAATTTATATGTCTGGAGATGCCTTTAATATAATCCCATACTTTGTGCAATATATTTTCAGTACTGGCTCTGTCCTGAGGTAGAGTTTTACTCTATTTTAGACCAAAATGACATCCTTAACAAGGAGCTCTATGTCATTGGTAACAACTCGGACTCTTAGAGAATGTAAAGGGTATGTACAGAACATTCCTTGGAGAGCATCTCATAGAACCTCTTCTGGTTTAACAAAGCCTGAGTTTGTTGCTATTCATTGCTTAGTATAAAGTAAATCTTCACTGTGGCCCCTTCTTTGTTTGTGTACACACGTTACCATTTAAATCCCAACATCTTTCTTTATATTTTTTAAATGAAGCATTTCTCTAGTTCATTTGATTGCTTTTACTGTTAAGTTGCACAGGCAAGTAAAGATTTCATTTCTTATGTTTAAATATTATAGTAGTTTTAGTTGTACATTATAATTTGTTGCATAAATGAGAAACATATATTTGACAAAGATGGTAGCACTGAATGTATTGTGCTTAACTTTTTAATAGGGATTCTGAGCATCATATGGTACTATACATACTTATCTTACATATTGCTAATCTATAGGAGTACCAGTGTGATAAAGGACCTTTTATTCTAGTAATGACTAAATTTTCCTTAAATCTTTTGGAAAAGATCCCGTGGAAGTTGTTTCCCCAATAGGCAAGGCTAAACACAACCAAATACTTATTTAGGATTGATATTCTCCAAAAGTTTAGTTTAGATAAATCCTTTGAACGTAAAATATTTTTCCTGGCAAAAAAAAAAGTCTGCTTTTTCCTAGAGACAGAAATCTTTAGTTGCTTCCTAAAGCAGATGACATGTAAGCCCAAGGCAGTGCTTAACCCATAAATTACATAAGGGTCACATTTTGGAAACTTAAGCTATTTTGTATCCCAGTGGAATAGTCTTTGGTTTTCTTACCAAAAGGCTTATGTGTTGACTCATTTCCTTTACCAATATGACAATTTCCTGCACACATTTAATGCTTTGGGCAAGATTATGATATGTTAACTAAGATGTTTTTACTAATGCTTTTCTCATTAGGAAACTTCAAATTTCAACTACATGTATAGCCTAGCTTGTTGTCATCCAAAAACGTTTTATTTGGGATGTTGGCTGTTTTGTCTGTTCTTATCCATTATTTTGCAAGAATAGTTTCTTATAATCTGAAAATACTGTCTTTTTAACTATTCTAGGTTGTATGTTTGCATTGCATGCACTAGAGCATTTGAGTGATATCTCGTGTTTTTTTGTACTAACCAGAACATGTGGTTTTTAATTGTGAACAGTACTTTAGCTATTCATAGAATGTATTTGCTTGACTAACTTATGGCCTTTTTTGCTAATGCTTCATGGTTGTCCTACAACCATTTAGGACGCTGCATTGGGATACAGATCCATCAGTTCTTCAGCTTCACTCAGATTCCGATTTGGGGTATTGAATAGATTTATTACCTTCCCTCTTTTATAATTAATTTGATTCTCTGTGAAATTGTCCTAATTTTATTTTTCTTAAATTTCTAACATACAGATAATACAGAGTGATATTTCACTGTGACACCTCATTTGTCCTCTGTCATTAGTGAAAAAAATATTTTATGTATCTGATTTTATAGGTACCCTAAGTCTTATGAATTTAAATGTCTAAATTACTTTTATTATTGCTATATTTTTGATGTAAGTTTTTCTACAGTGTATTACAAACTTTCTAAACTTTTAAAAATACATACTCTACATGCAATTGAATCTTTTCTAAGTTACTCAACATGAAAATTTATTTTCCTATATTAAAATTTCCTGATGATATTTAAGGTTTTGAGAGGAACAGAGCTGTCGGTTTCTACACTGTGGCTCCAGATTGCTATTGATTTATTCATTTACTTATTTATTCTAGTCTCCAATGCAAACTATAAATGTTTACTTCTGCCACTATGTCTGACTCAGATAGCTCTTTTCCCTTGATAGTTTGCAGCTTCTAAAACATATGTCCCCAATACCTTTAGGAATTAGGTCTAAAGTAAGAATAAATAAGCCTTACGTGCATGCTAAATTGCTTCAGTCGTGTCCAGTTCTTTGTGACTGTTTGTACTGTAGCCTGCAAGGATCCCTGTCTGTGGGATTCTTTAGGCAGTGCTGGAATGGGCTGCCATGCCCTCCTCCAAGGGGATCTTCCCGACCCCAGGGATCGAACCCACATCTCTTATGTCTCAGGGCTCAAACTCACATCTCTTATGTATCTTGCATTGGCAGTTGGGTTCTTTACCACTGGTGCTACCTGGGAAGCCCTTAAATAAACCTTGAATAAGGCCGTGTAACAAAAGTATATGGGCTTCTTGTACACTAGCTGGAAGTCCTCTCTGTTGGCTACCCTGAGTCTCACCCACCCCCAACTGCTTGCTTGTTCTCAGTAAAAGTGGCTTTGGATAAGTAAAGTATTATCTCCCCAAATCTGTCCCTAAATCTTATTTTGTTTGTTGTAGTATTGTGATTTTTATCTATTAAACCCTATATGTACTCAAGTTAGTAACTTGTTCTTAATGTTGTTGACCCAAGCACTTTTTTTCAGATATGAAAAATATCTGAAATTATATTTCAGATATGAGTAATTTATTTTTTCATATGGTTTACATCTTGAAAATTAGAATATAAAATTTATTTCAGATTTTGTTCTTAGAATGCTAAGTTACTTCAAATCTTCCTAAATTTTTCCATTTAATTCTTGGATTATGCTTTTTTTCTCTAAGATATTTCCAAGGTAGAAAACACATGAAAAATTTCTTGTGGCCCACATTTAGGACCTCAGAGAAAATTAACTCTTTAAATGTACTAATTTTATTAAACTTTTTTGTACAGGATTTTGAAAAGGACGTTTATATAAGAAAAAAGTTATATTACCAAATATATATACATATATATATTTCAAATATCCAGCTTTATATTCTTGTAAGACAGATTCATTATTGAGAATTTTGGGAGTTTGGAAGCATGCTATATTTGGTTTAGAATTTAGACATCTACTATAATAAGAAAAAAAAAAGAAAAAAGAAAAAATTCCCCCAGATACAGAATAAAATATATTTTTCTTTTGGTACATTTTCATTATCCACAACTCTCTTCTGTTTGTCAAAAAATAGTGTATTTCACTTATTTAAAATAGGAGTGACTTTAGTAATTGCATGATATTCAGAAGATATGTAGCTTTATAAAATAATCTGCACAATAGTTTGTCCATGTGTGAATCAAGGACAATATTGATCACACAGAGATTAGAGACTTTTAAGTTTAAATATTTTATTTTATAATCTAGATTAACTGTATACTTCTCAATTTCTGCAAAATATAAGTAGAAAAAGTTGTTTTCAACAGAAAGTTATTTCTCACTCTTAAAGCCGATGTCTTCTAATGGTGAAGGGAGACTAAATGTGGTATGAGTGAAATCCATATATTTAACTCTTAACAAAAAATTCCAGAATCATATCCCTGCTAAAAACAGTTCTCATAACCAACCATATTCAGCAGTCTACTTTGAAATTCCCATCTTTTTACTGTTATTACCCACACATTTATTCTAAGAAACTAAATTATTTGCCTTTTTAAAGTGAAAAATAAACACCTTGAATGATTCAGAAATCTCTTTTGTTCTTGCTACCTTCTAATTCTTTTGTTAAAATAAAGCCAATTAATTGTTCATTTAAATTTTCTTGAATAAAACAGGGGTTTAAATTACACTGTTGAAAAAAAAATTACACTGTTGGGTATACTATATTTCTTACTTTTCCCAAAAAACATGGTTTGATGTAGTTCAAGTGTATCATTTGTAGTGTTTGAAAGTATTTGTGTTCACTTTATTCAGACGAGGACCTATTAAACTTGGAATGGCTAAAATTACACAAGTTGACTTTCCTCCTCGTGAAATTGTAACATACACAAAGGAAACTCAGACTCCAGTTATGGCTCAACCCAAAGAAGGTGAGTATCTGTCCTTAAATATGATTGTCATTAAATCCCATGTTAAATAAGGAGATTCTTTTTTTTTTTCTTTGTTGTTTGGCATATTTTCTTAGGGGAACATTATAAAAATAATACTTTGAGTTTCTATATTTATGTATTTGCTCTTTAGAGTTTTAAAACTTTTTCTTGTAGGATTTAATAGAAGTATAAGCTATATGTATGTTTTTAATTTTGTTGGCATAAATACAGATATTTCCATTCTCATTTTGTTGTTGCTATGTGCTGCTTTAGGAGCAAAAAATAAATTTAAGAATGTTCTATTTCTGTATCATGAACATAATTCTTCCCAGAATGAGAGTATATCCAATAGTAAATGAAATAATGTAAATTATTTTCTTTGGTGCATACTATATTCTGATATACTGCCAATTATCTGTATTAATGAACAAATCTAGACCTAATTCATAAACTTCCTATTTTATGATATAAGGGCTCTACTATGTTGTTACATAGCAGCCTGTCATCTCTGTGAAACAGAAGGAGTATACATAGACATTATTTTGAATGTGGAGTCCTTTGTGTCTTAAATCAGAAGGAGCTGACCATTTTTACAGTGGGGACTAATTTTTAAAATCTCATTGAATAGCTAATGATTTAAGCATAAACTTAATGTGATAGTTCTTGTTTTTCCAAGGGAAGCTAATAAATTTATGTTAGATATAAAAGAAGTTTACTTAAGATCCCTAATACAGATTCACAATTTCTTATCTGAAAGCTATGGAGGTGTATATATATAGGGATTCAGAATTTTTTACATTTCAAAGAAGTAATTAAGTACTATATGTGCCATATGTAAATACTCCAACAGCATTTTGGGCATAAATATTCAACAGCAAAAGATACAAATATTCAAACTGAGTGAGATAAATAATGATTATAAATACCTTTACTTCTGGTCATATTAGGGTTTACCACCAAAAGAGTTACAAATTTTAGAGTACTCTTTATAGATTTTTTTAAACTTAATAGTAGATCATCACATGCACTTTTAACAACTCTCCTTTCCTTGCCCCCTAAGGATGGACATGACATAAATATCATGAACTTTTCCTTTGATTTTCTTCATGTTCCCAAAGGACTTGACATTATTGTGTGTACAGTTAAACTCAAAAATTTTGAGGAAATTGGAATAAGTTTTTGTCCAATAGTTTTTTTATAACTTAACCATGTGAATATTCATTTCTATGGATACATTTTTTTCATTCCTGCTGCTCCATCGATTGGTACAATAGCTTTCACATGTGCAAAATCCCTCATCTTACCAGAAAAAAAGTCCTTGATGATAGATTTGTTTGAGACATAAGCCACTTTAAAAAAAGAAAAGAGGAAAGATAAAAGTGCTGAACTACCAGTATGGAGAAAACTAATACTGTAGGATTCTATAATTTCCAGAAAACATTATTTTACTAACTAATATGTTCAAGTATTGAAATGTCTGTCTTTCGGGAGCTGCATTATTAGATATGTTAAATGAGAAATGCTAGATACGTAAAATAGAAAGTAAGCAAAATAGCCAAAATGAGGGTACAGTATCTCATTTAAAAAATAAATTAGGCTTTTTTCCTTCTAATAATAATATGAAGATTTAGTTTTATTTATGAAATGCATTGTAGATTGTTTTAGAATGTAAAGCAATTCTGAAGCAATTTTAGGTAATGCCTGTTGTAATACACCTACAATTATATATATTGTTTAAATGAAGGCTTCCATTTTTTAAAATAATTTTTTCTAATTACTGTAGTATATCATAGAGAATTTAGAGAAGACAGAAAGGATAGGAAATATGCCTGTGATACCACTGTGTAGTAGCCATTGTTAATATTTTGTTTCCAGTCTGTTTTCTACAATATGTTTTTTCAAAAATTATATATGTATACATATACAAGCACACATATGGTTTTATATCCTACCTGAAATTTTCATTTTTAGTTCCTTATTCTTGACATGCATATAAATTTTTAAATGAACATGTAATAATGTCTTTGAGCTAATTTGAATGTATAGCTACATAGTATATGCCTGGCAGTTTTGTTAAAAATGCTTTTTTTCCATTTTTATTTTGAAATTAATGGGAAAATTTAAAAGACTGTGATTGTAAAGTAAGCTGACTACCCAGAAGTTCAAGATAAACTGTGTTTATTCACTTGGAAATTAGTTGCATGAGTGCTAAGTCACTTTGGTCGTGTCCAGCTCTTTGCGACTCCATGGACTGTAGCCCACCAGGCTCTTCTGTCCATGGAATTCTCCAGGCAAGCATACTGGAGTGGGTTGCCATGCCTTCCTTCAGGGGATCTTCCTGATCCAGGGGCTGAACCTGTGTTTCTTATGCCTCCTGCATTGCAGACAGGTTCTTCTATTTAGGGCAAGGCTTTTAGTATCATCGTACTTCAGCTTTTTTGCCAAATTTTCCAGAACACGATAGGGACTGTTTCTTCTTCATTGCTATAATGCCTGGTCTGGAGAGTGCATGATGTGTAGTGAGTACAAACTCAGTAAATATTTGGTGAAGGAATTAATTGCTTTTGCCTACTTAGGAGAATGATTTACTTACTTGAGATTTTTTTTTCCCCATGCCTTTTCTTGGGAAGTAACTGCTGGGAAAATACTATTTTCTAGTGTTAATACTATAGTAACAATATTGATGAAATTGGGTGAGAAAGTATAGTCTCAGTTCTTGATTTTAATATGACTATATCATGTTGTAATCATTATTTGCTCTTAGATCCATAAATGAAACATACATCCTCCCTTACAGCCTTCTGTAATTCCATGATGACCTAGATACAAACATATGCTGTTACTCTCTGTTCAGTGTATCCCTGTGAATGCTGTGAGCAAAATTGGACCTGTTAGCATCTCTCAAATATATTATCTAGCTACTTGTTTGTTACAGTTCTTCAAACCTCATATTTAAATTGGTGACTGAAAATTGTAACAGCAGAGTGCTTACTACATATCAGATATAGTATAAGGCACTTTATGTTATCTCTGATCCTCTTACCAAAACCTTGAGAGTTAAATACCAATTCTGTTTACATACGAAGAAGCTGAAGCTGAAAGAGAGCTTATTAAGGGTAAGATTCTAAACCAAATTTGGCTGATTCCAATATATGCTTTCTCTCCTACGCTGTCACTGAAGCAGCACTTTCATTCTTTTACGGTAGTTACCTGTGGTAAGAAATTCAATTTATATTAATTACAGTCTAGTACAAATGTAGATACATATGTGTACAGGTATCCTTTGAATTTCAAAAGTTCACTTATGCCACTTGGGGAGTGTGACAAACCCAAGCTCCTTCCCTGGAAACTACACTCAGCATCCCAGCAGAAAGCTGCCATAGCTTTATAGCTTTAAACTGTCTCTGAGCATCTGCTGTATTTATTCTGTGCACCTGTTAAGATGTGTCCTAGAGTAGTCGCTTCTTCATTTTACATCATTTCAGTTTAAAGTTTTCAAGGATTGCTCTACTTTTGGATAGTGGGGGGTAGTCTTGTAACTGATACAAAAGTTTTTTGAAATAATGCCTTCTGTGCTTTTACTGTATTTCATTTTTTTCATTGTTGGCCGTAACTAAATTGTTGGCTTTGACCTCTAGTTTGAAGAACGTTTCATTAAAAGATAGCATGGCTTACTTATTTATTGGTAAATTTGCACTTATTTATTGGTAAATTTGCATCAGATAATATTTTATAGTGATTGACTCAGAGTAATGAATAAACAGCTTTGATCTTTCATGTTGTTAAATAGAATTTTTCTTATCTTCACTAATAGAGGATAAAAGTGGCAAGATACATAAACTGAGCCCAGTTTCTAATGGGTACACCTATGTACCACTCTCTTTAAAATTTTCCTCTGTGGACTGGACTTAGTTTTATAAAGATCCACGTTTATTCATTTGCAACCTAACAAGAATTCAGTGATTCTACTAGTGTATTGAGTGTATGCTATCTACTTGATTATTTTTTTTAGTGTAAGGTTGAGGTATATAGGCCACGTTGTAGCTCAGATGAAAAAGAATCTGCCTGCCATGCAGGAGACCCAGGTTTGATCCCTGGGTTGGGAAGATCCTCTGGAAAAGAAAATGGCAACCCACTGTGGTATTCTTGCCTGGAGAATCGCATGGACAGAAGAGCCAGGCAGGCTACTGTCACGACTAACACTACACTACCGCTGAGGTATATAAGTGAAGGAGAGTGAGACACATACTGTAATACCATGGGGCTTAGCCCTTAGCCTTTAGAACTATTTATAAAAATGAGATTTCTTGTCTGTATCATTACAATTATTTTCATGTCCAGGACCCTTACATTGTTTCATTTCCCAATTTATAGAAGTTTTAGAAAGAGGGGTAAAAAACCCCTACACTTAAAGTTTTATAATGAGAACACTTTGTGCTTAACTCTACCTCTGCTTTTCCATTGGTTTAATACAGAGCTTCTCAGACTTAGCCTCCTTGGCTCGCATTTAAGAATATGTAATAAATTCCAAAACTCACCATGAGACAAAATTGTGAAATTCACAGTTTGAGTGTAAAAGACAGTAAATTGAACTTGGCACTGTAATTAGTACAGAAGTAATGCTAAATATCAAATTGAAGATAAAAATTGGTCTTAGACTTAACTCCCTTTTTCATTTTTTAAAAAATGGCTGAATCTATTCTTTTGAGAAGCACATGTTCTTGCTTTCAAGTTTACTCTGTAAGTTGATAGTACCATTTCTGAACTGAGGTGCTTTGCTGTCTTAAAGCACCTACTGTGAATGAAATTGCCTAGGAACATGTGACCTTAGTCAATTTGGCTCCCGGCAGGTAAAAAAAACTTCTCATGGCAGGAGTGTAATACCCACAGACACACGCCTGGAAAAGTTACTTTCTTGAAACCCTTATATTTTAGAAGTTTTTAACTTTCTTGAAAATGGCATTGTCTTTTCTTATTCACCAAAGATCATCAACATGGATTTTTTGTTGTTGTTGCAATTTTTAGACACAGATTTTTAAAGAGGAAATTCCAGAGTTTAATCAGCTTGTTTACACCTGAGGAAACTGAGACCCAAGAATGTTCATTGATGACCCTGTGGTCACAATATAAAAGAATATCAGGCCACAGTCAGAACCTGGTTATTGATTTCCATTGGAGTGCTATGTTTCTCATATCATTCTACTTTCTTATCTGTGTGGAGCTTCATAATGGTTTTTGGTATTGATTTAGTAATCATATTTTTCCTCAGGTACATGTTGATTAGAATATATAATATGCAGGAAAATGTATGTAAATAGCTCTTAATTTTTTATTACATGATCTTAACATCTGGAATCCACACTTCCCAAGTAGACTAAATTGTTAGGCCTTCTGGCTAATATTATTCTTGTCTAAAATGGATTTTAAAAAAATTTTTTTGGAGTAAATAACATGTAATAAGTTAGTTTTAACCCTCAAAGAATCTGTGAGAATATAAAAATAATTGAAAATTGAAGCATTTGTTCTTAACCATGATTGAAAGGCTTTAATCAGCATATTTAAAATTGTGGCCTCAGAAAAAATGTAATATTTATGAGATCACAGATAACAGGATCTGTGTTAATGATGCCAGTACTGCCTAAATAAAAATTTTAATTTTACATAAAATGAGACAATGTAGAGAAACAAATTCTGTGTTAAAATAAATGGTATAATTAAAGTATTACTCTTTATTTATCTCCCAAATTAGCATTAGATCTGTATTCAAAATATTTCCTGATTAAAATTTTCCCTTGTTAAATATCTAAATTGTTAAGAAACAAGTGACCTTGCATTTGATTCTAGGTGTTTAAAAAAATAAAAGGAGTGAATTCCACTGATACATTCCTTAAGTTTTGTCCTAATATTTTCTTAATGTTGATTTTTAAAGAGTAAAGTATAAGAATATGAAATTATGGACAAATGGATCAAAATGAAGTGATTCAAAAGGATATTGAACCAAAAAAGAAAGAATTATTTTGAAAATATTAAAGGAAAATCATTCATATCTAACATGTAATTTTAAACTTATGATTGAAGTATTTCCTTCTAATAGTCTCATTTTGTTTATGAAGTTACTTATAAGAATTTTTATAAATTAAATTATGTCTTTATGTGCAACACATTTTTCCTGATTTTTGGAATTCATTGGCAATTTCCTTTGTAGTGAGTAATTACGCTACTTTTTAAATTAGGAATTCTTCATTAGGATATTAAACTATCTTAAAATAGAATACATCAGTATGATGAAACTAGTTAATAAATTTATAGACAACTGTTTCCTAAATAGCATTAATACACAAATGATATAGATTTATTTTTGACCTCGTGCTAAGAATTAAGTGTGATAAGTGATAGATTAAAGAGTATCAGTTTTTAGTGAGTATTTTCTAGGATCTTGCATATTCCTTGTTATGTGTTACAATATTTTAAAATAATTCAAAGGGTGCTTTGTGGCTTATTCTTAGATAGCTCTTTAACGCAATGTGACATACAGATGAGAAAACTTGTTCTGAAGACTCCTTCCTTCAGCTTAACAAAAGCCACCCATTTCACAGATGATTTAACTTTGATTAACCTACTCCATTGTAACAGATTATTCCAACAACTGGAATTTCATTCTTTCATGTTATTTCTAGGTGCAGCTTAATTTACAGACCGTTTTTCTTTCCATCTCACCAAAATACATCACAATTTCGATGTTAACTCAGTAAAAATTCAATGGTTCATTAAACCTAATCTTAACATTCATTGACAAGAGGTTTGTCATTTTAAAAGTAACTGCTACTTTTATGCATTCTTTATTGCTCAGTTTATAATCTTAGATTCCCTGTCAGAGAAAGCATGGAGTTAACTACTTAGCATATTGCAATGAATATTCATCAATAAATTGATGTGACATGGCAGTCCCATTTTTCAGTCTTCCTGCTCTGTTGTAGTGTTTTTCAGTTTTAAATATATTACGGCTTATCATATAATAGGGACTAGCTTAGAGAATCTTTAGAATTGTAATATTATATTTTTGGTCATGTTAATACTTTTTTAGTAGCTAGTTGTATTCATTTTTGATAAGACTATTTGTTTCAGAGGAACAGTCTCTAATGATAGTGATGTTAGGCATTTTTTTGCCAATTATTTGGTATGTGTAGATAATCAGCTTAATAATAAAAATATTTTTAAAGCAAATCATTTTGTAATGTTCTTGGAATTTTTCTTAGTGTTAGCCATTTTATGAAGCTTGATTCTTAAGTATCTGAGTTTTTGAATCAGGTTTTAATTCATACAGAAAGAGGTAGTACATTCATTCTAAAATAAAATCTTGAAAACAAGTATTTAAATAGACTGTAGTCATCATTCAGCTACAACTAAACTATATGGGCAAATAAGCACAACAAATGCCATGAAGTGGGCAGAGTTAGATCACTGTCTACCATACTTCATCTACATTTTAAATTTTAAAAGGAAAAGAGTGTCTGTAAGCATGATCTTTTCTGTTAAATGTGTAGATTATGAGGTCACTTAGCACTAAAGTACTGACCATATGCATTATGACAGGAATTTGACACCTGTCATTGGAAATGGTACTTAGAAGCCGTATAATGCAACAAAGTTGAGAGAGGAAGATATGATGTGGATAGGAGGCTGTAATTTATAATTCACAATGCTTCAGGATGACCTTTGTGGGGTGTGTCAGATCCTTTTCTTTTATTTTTGGTTTTTCATCTATTTGATTTATTTGTCATGTCCTTTGATTTTTGATAGTATTTTTTGTATTTGGGTCTCTTTTTTTTTTTATTTTTTTTTTTTCTTTTTCTTGGTTATTTTTTTCCTCTCATATTTTTCTTAAGTTTTTTTTTTTTATTTTGATTGCATTTTACTTGTGTGTTCTTTGGTGGTTGTATTTTTTGATGTTTTTTGATTTGTCCTGTTTATATTTGTTTTTTTATTGGCTTTTTTCAGATTTTTACTTTATTTTCTTTGTTGATTCGTCTAGATTTGTGTCCTGTCTTTTTGTTTTTGTTTTTTTTTCTTTTTCTGTCTTTTTTTGTTTGTTTTTTTTTCTTTTCCTAACATCTTTGTTTGGTATGTTTTTTCCGGTGTTGTCTTTTTGTATGCTTTTGGGGTTCTCTATGTATTCTTTTGTTTTTTTTTTCGTGTTTTCGCTAGCTTGTCCTTAGCGTTGTCTCTGCGTTTACTTTGTTTTCTTGCCATGTTCGTTTTCATTGTCAGTTGCATTTTTGCTTTTATTTTTCTCTTGTTTTTCCCTTGTGATTTTTTTTCCGTTTTTTTGCTCTGGGTGTGTTGCCGTCGACAGGGCTGTCAAATTCTTTTTTTCTTTCTTCATTGTTTGTGTTTTCTGTTTTGCTTTGTGTCTGATTGAGGCCTTTGCTTGTGTTGTTTTTTATTTTCCTCTTTTTTTTTAACAGTATTCTTTTTTTTTTCATTTGTTTTTGGGTTTTTTTCTAGTTTTTTTTTTTTGTCTGAAGGTTTCTCTTTCTTATTTTTTGGTTTTGTTGGCTTTGCCTGCGTTTTTGTCGTTTTGCTTCCGTTGGGTTTTGTTTCCTTGTGTGTGTTATTTATTGTTCTTTTCTGCTTTCTTTTTTGATTGTGTATTTATTTTTTTGTTGCTTGTTTTTTTGTTTTAGAAGTGTTTTCTTGGCTTTCTGGTTTTTGCCCTGTGTTTGTGTTTTGGTCTTTGTTGTGGGTTCCTGTCTGTATTTTGTTTTTTGTGTTTGGTTTTATGTTTCTTTGTCTTTTGGTGTTTGTTTTTGCTCTTGCTCTCTCTTTGGTATGGATCTGTTTGGATTTATTCTAGTTGTAGTTTGTTGTGCTTTCTCGTTGTGCCCTTTTCTTTGATTGACTCTGTGCCGGTTGTTGCTTTTTGTTTTTTCTATTTTGTTTTCTGTCCTTTTTTCTGGTGTCATGCTTTGTTTGTTGTTTCTCTTCTTTTACCTTTGTTTTGTTTCTGTCGTGTGTTTGTGTGTTTTTTATTTTTTTTTACTTGTTTTTTGTTTCTGTTTTTTAGCCGTGGTGTCTTCTTATTTGTTTGTTTCTCGTTTGTTGATTTTTTCTTTTGTCCGGTTGCCTGTTGTGTTTCGCTTGTCGACGAGTGTTTTTTTTTTTTCTGCTTTCACTTTCTGTATTTTTTTCCTCCAAATTTTTTTTCTTTTTTATTGAAGTAGTCTGTTTGTTGATTTGTTTTTTTTGTTGCGTTTTTGTTTCTGTATTTTCCCTTTATTTTGTGGTTTGGTTTTCTTTTAGTTGTTTTAGTCTTTTTTAAATGTCTTTTTAACATTGTTTATTTTGTCGTTTTGTTTTTTTCTTCCTTTTGGGCCGTTTTTATTTTTTGTTTTTCTTGCCCCTTTATTTTCTTGTTTTTTTTGAGACTTGCCTTTTAAATGACTGAATAGCAATTTTGGTCTTGTGGTTTTTTTTTTTGGGCTTTTTCTTTCTGCTGTTTGTTTTGGTGTTCATTTGGGGCGTTTTTTTGCTTTTTTAAGGTTTATTTTTTGTTGATGGTTTCAGTTCTGTCTTTGTCTGCTTGGTCTGTTGGTTATTTTATGCCTTTGCTTTTCTTTCTTTTACTGCCTTACTGTTTGCTGATGGTCTCTGTGTCTATGTTGGGTTTTGCTTTTGTTCTTTCTTTAGTTGTTTTTGTTTGCCAGCTTTTGGCTATTTGGCTTAGTCTTTTGTTTTGGTTGCTTGTGTATCTTATTTCTTTTTTTGTGTCTCTGTTTTTTGTTTTGGCTGTTGCTGTCTTCCGGTTTTAGGTATGTCTTACGAAGTTGCATTTAATTCTTTTTTGGAACTTGTGTTGCTGTGGTTTGCTTTGTTTCTAGTGGTTCTGTGTTATGAGTGGTTCAGTTTTGGTTTTCTGTTCAGAGTTGTGATGCTTTTTGTCCTGTTTACGTCGAGTGCTATCTTTTATTGTCGTGAGGATAATTTTTGTGTTTGTTTTTTGTTTTTGTTCTGATTGCGGAGTCGCCGATTGTGTGTTGTCTTCTGTCTCCCCTCTTGAACTTTGTGAGGAGATCACTTTAAGGTGGGATGCAGGACTTTGTAGTTGGTGTATTTTGATCTAGTTTAGGTTCTATTAAAGTTTTTATGGCTTTTTTTTGATTCGTTTTCTTTTTTTTTTTTGTTATTTTTGCATTCACATAGGATACTCTGGTTTCAGTCATGGCTGTGCCTCTGGTTGATGAAGGAGTGACGTTGATTTGTTGACTTTTTGATCGTGTGGTGACCTTGTTTGAGTGGCATCTTTCAGGCTTTATGAAGACATTTGTTTTACAGCTCCTCCTCATGAGCTGACTGAAGAAGAAAAGCAGCAAATCTTGCACTCTGAGGAATTTTTAAGTTTCTTTGACCATTCCACAAGAATTGTAGAAAGAGCTCTTTCAGAGCAGATTAACATCTTCTTTGACTACAGTGGAAGAGATTTGGAAGACAAAGAGGGGTAAGTATAGTTGCTAAAATTATGGTGTTAACAGTGTTTAATTACTTTAAGAGTGAGAAGTTATAACACAGTTGTTGGTTTTTTGTTTTTGTTTTTTTTCTGTAGAGAGATTCAAGCAGGTGCTAAACTGTCATTAAATCGACAATTTTTTGACGAACGTTGGTCAAAGCATCGGGTTGTTAGTTGTTTGGATTGGTCATCTCAGGTAAATTACAACAAAATTGGTTTCTATTTACCCATTTTTGAATTACAATAAGCAGATAGTTGTATTTTAATTATGGAAACTTTGTATAATTAATGTTTATTATAACAATGGATGATGACTCTAATGTTATGGTTGCTCTGATGTTATGGCTGACTTATGTACTTAGGAAGAAATGATTGGGAACACTATTTAAAACTCAAGGTTTTATTTATGCCACAGCTTAGTTTTACTTATTTTAATTGCTTACCCATTTTAATTCTATCCTTTAGATAGAATTGCAACAGCATTTTAATAAAATGTTTTAGCATTAAAACCTTTAAAATAACCTTACTAATTCAAAGTTTTACTAATGTTGCAGAGAGCATAACTCTAGAGATGTATTTCTTGATGAAGGGTTAGGAATTTGCATTTTCAGAATAATTTAATAAAAACAGTTGAGTAACTAGGAATGTAAAAGAGTTACTATGCATAGCATTTTTTCCCCACATGATTCTTATGAGCAGTATCCAGAATTACTGGTGGCTTCCTATAACAACAACGAAGATGCTCCTCATGAGCCTGATGGTGTGGCCCTTGTATGGAATATGAAATACAAAAAAACTACTCCAGAGTATGTGTTTCACTGCCAGGTAAGATAGTCTTTTAGCAATCTTCCCCCAGTTTAAGAATTCACTAATGAATTTAGACAGTGCCTTTTTTCTTTTCTTGTCAACATAATGATTTCATTGGATTGGCATTTACTAAACCACCCCATATTTGCAAACAGATGTTAACAAAAAACTGAAGACTTCTCCGTTCAGCATGATCTCTGTTTTCTAGCTTTTCTGATGTCTCTTATGTTTAATCACACCTAAAGTCCTTTGCTGTTGTGATTTCCTGTTATTGTGATTGATTGTATAAAAGGAATCTTTTATAAAATGTCTTTTCTGCAGTGAGTTTCTCAGGAACTTACTTGCTGAATATACAATTAGATGGTTGGCCCACTGAATTACTTATACATGGCCTGAGGAGTTGGAACTAGATAGTTTTAAGTAGAAACATATGTTTGAAGTAGGAAACAGATGCAGATTTTTAAAGTGGATTTAGTGGGAGGTTAGAATTTGCAAGCCTTTGTGGTTGCATAAGTTATAATCTTTTAATAATATAATAATTCTGCAAAACACTTAACTGAATCAAAACTAGCATTATACTCTATTGTCAGATTTCTGTCAAAGGATAAAGTAGAGCCAGTTATCTTTGGATTTAATGCTGTAATCAAATAGTTTTTGCTTTGTTGGATAAATTGCTTAAATATTTCTGTAAACAGTCATTACATTTGACTTAAGCAAAACTATTCTAGAGCTGTATCTTTATGTTCTTAAACAAAATGACATTTTTAAGTGTATTTACTGATGGTTTTATTCTCTGATAGCTTACAATAAAGGGAAAAATGTTTTTGGTTATAGATTTATTCTTATAACTTGTCATAGTTCTTTCATTTGACCCTTAAATATAAAAATCTTACTTATTTGCAGTCAGCCGTTATGTCTGCTACGTTTGCAAAATTTCATCCAAATCTGGTTGTGGGTGGTACATACTCAGGCCAGATTGTGCTGTGGGATAACCGTAGCAATAAAAGAACTCCCGTGCAGAGGACTCCGCTGTCAGCTGCAGCACACACGGTGAGTAAAGAGGCTGTTTCCATTAGGTCTCCTTCATCATTAAATACTTAGTTGCATCTGTCAAAATAGTCTCAAAATGTGTTTCCTTTGATGTGTGAATTCCTCATCATTTAGCAACTAAGAATGAAGCCCTTTTTTTTTTTTTTTGGTATTATTGGAAATCTGTTTTATTAGAAACTTATCTCTCTTCTAAGATAATCTTTTGTTAATCCACAGAATAGGATCAAACTTCACATTAAAAATGCCCTTATGATGTGAGACTGTTTGGATATGAAACAATACCTGTGATGATACAGTAAAAATTATTTCATCTTTTTGGTGAAAATAATTCCAGAGAACTTTCTTTAATATTTCTTTCTTTAGCATCCTGTGTATTGTGTAAATGTTGTTGGAACGCAGAATGCTCACAATCTGATTAGTATCTCTACTGATGGAAAAATTTGTTCGTGGAGTCTGGACATGCTTTCCCATCCACAGGTAGGTTAAACTAGGAAAACTGAAGTTTTGAGGCAATATTGATATTTTTTTAAGTCTATAAATGCCAGTTTATATTTTTCATAGATGTTTTATAATAGTATTATAGTAACAGTTTATAAATCTAAACATGTATTAAATATAATCTGTGATATATATACTTCATTTTCAAACCTTCTTTTAATCAATTAAATTTATGTAAGTAGTATAGTAAAAGAACTAAGACTAGAAAATGTTCTTAAAAATTTAAAAATTGTAAGTTTACAAAATAATCTCAATTTTTTCTGTGTAGGATAGCATGGAATTAGTTCATAAACAGTCAAAGGCAGTTGCTGTGACATCTATGTCCTTCCCTGTTGGAGATGTCAACAACTTTGTTGTTGGAAGTGAGGAAGGTTCTGTGTACACAGCATGTCGCCATGGCAGGTAAATCTAAACTGAAATTTGCAATTATTTAAAATTCTCCCTTGAATAATCTTATTAAACAATTTGCCTCTTAATTCAAGTAGAAATCTCTCCTAGAGCCACTTATATGTGACAAGTTATTTAAGTTCAGGTATATGAAATTAAATACTTTTTAAAAATAAAAGGTCATTTTAGATCATAATGTGTTCTAGTAATTGATTTTGAGGGGTGTGGTGTGTTATGATTTTCATATATGTGGACGTGCTCACAAAAGTTAGTGGTAGGAAGTAACATTCCGCAGTTACAAATACAAAAATTCACATACTACATACTGACCTTTAAAGTTGTAAATAAGATTTTCAACTGTTTTTCCATTTCGATTTATTTGGACATTGAGCATTCTTGGCTCAAAGTTCACTTCTCCTGATAATTGTACAGTAATGTCACGTACACATTTTAAATTGACTAGTATTTCTCCTGCTGTTCAATCTGTTTTGAAATTGTCTAGCTGTACTTTATCAATTGCTTCCTGTAAAAAAAAATTGAGTGTCCAGATTTCATCACAAATACAGATCACCTTCACTCGAAAGCGTTTGTTTTAAAAGTAACCTAGGTTCTCTCTCTTACATGTAGCATCCCTTTGTCTCTATTCCACCACCTCAGAACCTTAGATATTGGGCTTTTGAGTTCTGTCTTCAATAGCATGATGATTATGGTTCCAAAATGTACTTAATACTGTTTTAGTGGTGTTATCAAATATGGACAGAGTAACACTCAACATTATTATTGTGATGTGTTATGAGCACGAGTTAAGTTTGTTGAAATTGTGTCAAATTATAATAATAGATAAACCTGTGATAACATGTATTTGTAAGTGGTCTATTTACAAGAGATTTCCCTATTTTCACTCTTATGAAATAGCAAAGCTGGAATCAGTGAGATGTTCGAGGGACATCAAGGACCAATTACTGGCATTCATTGTCATTCAGCTGTTGGAGCAGTGGACTTCTCACATCTTTTTGTCACTTCATCATTTGACTGGACAGTAAAACTTTGGACAACTAAGGTATCTAAAAACAGATGTCTGATCAGGTGCTCAGGTTTCTGACACAAGGTGGTGCTCTGATACCACATGGAAAAGATGAAAAGCCTCCTAATAGCTTGGAAGGATTTACTGATAAATCAAACCTAGTAAGTTACACAGAATATGAGTGAAAACTAGATATTGAAGTTTTTTTAAAATATGCTCACAGGTATGGTAACTCCACTCATAACCAAGACCAGTTGTCCCACCACTTCTGGCATTTCAAGCATAGAGCCTCTTATACTGAACTGAGCTGGGGGAAAAGCCTCTGAAGATCTCATATGACTCTCATATAGCTCCCCTATAGCCTGGCACAAACTGTGCCTTTGCTCTTTGAAGAGCTTTTAGAAGATGTTCAGAACCGCAGTGACTCAGAGCTGATGGAAGCTGGAGAGAAGATAGATAAGAACTGTTGTACAATAAGACTGTGCCATAAACCTGAGTCACTAGGAAAGTACTGTGTAAATGCTTACAAATTATTATACTGTAAGTAAATTTATTTATATTATTTCATATTAAAATCATTTTATATTAAATAAGTAAATTTATTATAAATACTTATACATAAGTAAATACTTATACTTACGGATGCATATATATTTTTGTTGACCACAGTACATAATACAAGTTGTTTGTGTTTAAATAAGCCTTGAAAAACCTTTTATGTTATGAAGTGCTTTCTGATCCTCCAACAATTCCAGAAATATGTGACTTTGCCCTGAATTATTGAAAGTCTCAAGGCAAATCCAAAGTGCCTTTACTTCGCTGTCTAACTTTTCCGCAGTATTACATTGTTGCTGACAAAGTTGCATTCTTAGAATAGCAGATTCTATTTAAATTAAGTTAAATTTTAAACTGTGTTTTTTCATGTTTTCATCTGCCTTATCCTAACTTTGATTCTTCAGTTTCTTTGAGAAAACCTGGTGCTCTGAAGATGTTTTCTTTACTATTACAGTGGAATCATTTATTTATCAAATGTTGACCTTTGAAATCAGGCATGAACTCACTATTCACTCTTGTCCTTTCCTGATGCTTTCTTTCAGTGTAGTAGGAAGTGAGTTAGAAAACTGTCTCTTAAAATTGAACGTTTTCATGTTTGGGATTGGCTTTCCTGGTAAAGAATCTGCCTGCAATGTAGGAGACCCTGGTTTGATTCCTGGGTTGGAAAGTTCCTCTGGAGAAGGGATAGGCTACCCACCTCCAATTTTCTTGGATTTCCCTGGTAGCTCAGATGGTAAAGAATCTGCCTACAGTGCAGGAGACCTGTGTTCTATCCCTGGTTTGGGAAGATCCCCTGGAGGAAGGCATGGCAACCCACCCCAGTATTCTTGCCTGAAGAATCCCTCTGGACAGAGGAGCCTGACAGGCGGCTACAGTCCATGGGGTCGCAAGGAGTCGGACATGACTGAGTGACTAAGCACGTTTGGGATTAATTAGCAGGCATTAAAAACAGCATTTAAGTCTAATGAAGGAAAATTTATTAAAAACTGTTTAACACAGTGTCTATCTAGCATTATAGAGACTTCACAGTGTTCATTCAGTTCCCCCTTTTCTCCTCCATGGAGATCAGGCAGAGTGTTAATGCATTTAGTTTATCATCTGTTTTCTTTCCCGGATTGCTCTTGAATTTTTGTTTTTGAATGAGATTTATACAGTGGAGAAAGGTAGAGGTAGAAGATTCTCACGTCTGTAAGCAAAGAAACGCATAATCCAGCTAGCAAAAACAAAGCAAGATGCAGAATTGGAGAGATGAAGCCAGTTGTTTCTCTATGCTGTAGGTGGCCACCTAACTGGCTAGATTTCTGGATATCTGGATACCTTACATTACACCTTAGATTGTTGGCCAGTACCCTTTTTCAGTATTTGAAAAGAATCTTTTTATCTATTTGTAGATATGTTATTTTTAATATCTCAGGGCTTCAGTTTGCCATCCTTTTATCTTTAAATTTGAGGCTTCCATTCTTAAATATACCACCAAATACGACTAGAAAATGAAGACTTCATCTTGCTTAAATAAGAACACTACTTACATCTGTGACAGTGGACTGACTGGTGCTTATTTTGTGGTACCACACAGCTGGTTGATTGGTGGTTCATATTTTTTGTTTTTGTATTTTCCTGTATTTCAATGTAAAACTGCCTACTGAATAAGAATGACAGCCAGCCATATCTCTTTCTTTGCTAAGTGAGCTAGGCATTGTTTCCTTCTTAAGCTTCATATAGAAGACTCATTTATTCATTCAGCTGTAATACATGGCTCTCCCTTCCCCCCACCACCCTATTCTTTGGTCACTCTAATTTAGTAACCAAAGAATAGGACAACACAGAACAAGGTGATTTTATAGAAGATGATGTACCCTCAAAACTATATCAGAAGAACTATTTTATTCTGACTTTTCATCACGGAAATAGTTCTAGTCTATGAAGGAAGAAAGAGCAACAATCTGCTAAGTGTTTTTTAATTTGGCCATATTATGACTCCCAAAGTCATTATTGCTTTGATCTTGGGTTTATACTTCATGTTTAATTGTGCTTCTGGTCTTCATTTCTTCCCTAAAAAACTTGGTAGAGCCTCTCTGCTCTCCAATACAATGATAATGAATAATAGGCAAAATTCTAAGTTAATCTCTTCGTAAAAACATTGTTCCCAGCTTAAAAAGCTTTAAGCTTTTTAAACCAGTATCTTCAAATTCATAAATTTAACAGACTTTAAATGTTTTTCTCTTTGCCTCTACTTGTTAAGTGTTTTCTGACTCTAGGAATTGAGTCCCCATAAACTGGAAGAATGAATCATTAGATATTGGTGTATCTTTGTATCCTTTAAGATGTGTCTGTGTCCTGATAGCGAAACAAGATTCTTTTTTCTCCCTTTCTGTAAGTCCTCTGTCTACCACTTGAAGTCTCAATTTGGTACTGCCTCAAATTTAGTTTCAAGTAATCTATCTTCTGTCATTCTAGTTTTTGCAGAGTCAAAGATTTTAATGCAGTAACAGGTTTCTGGATCATCAAATTGTCTTTTTTTTTACTTTTTTGAACTCAGTTATTTTTAATGAAGAAGATAAAGATAGATAGTTTTCCGCATTTTGATGAAGTTTAATTTAAACCAACCAAGATATTGCTTCTAATACAGTTAATTTTTTAAAATACCAAATTTGAAAATTCACAACAGAAGTACTTTGGCAGTCCTGAAAAATGGTAGGAGGAATAGAATAGTTATCTTGACGATAACTTGAGGATTCCATGAACACTTGATTAGGGGTAGACATGATAAGTGAGCTTAATATTCCATTTAACTGTACTTACTACAGATTACTCTTAAAATATAAGAATTATTTATTTGGAGGACAAAATGTATTAATATATGCACAGTATATTCTAATCTCAGAACTGATGCCTCTCAGTAGCATATTTACCATAAAGTGACAAAGTTAAAATCATTAATGTATTTCTCAGAATAGGTAGTTCTTGAACCTTTGTAATCCATAGACACCTTAAAATTTTTTCACAGTTTCTGATGTCTTAAATTCCCTCCTTGAAAAGCTTTAACCTATTTAACTCTTCTATTTAACCCTGCGCTAAAACAGGGTTAAAGAGAATATATAGAATTATAATTAACTATAAATATAATTAATTATAATCATATTAAATATTTAATATTTAAATTTTATTTAATATTAAGTTTATAATTTATTTAATAGTAAATATTATAATTAGTTATAAATATATAGAGTTATGATTAACTAATGCTTCTAATAGCAACTATGCACCTACTAGACAAATTAAAATGAAGAAATGCTATGAAGTTGGGATGTTTCTTGGAAAATGCTGACTGACCATCAGGACCCAGACCTCCAAGACAACATTTACTGTAATAACTTGTTGTTGGCCAGTGTCCAGCCTGTCCTTTGCATATTCAGAAACTCAGTTTTATCAGTCTACTGGAGTTGATTAGCTAGGGAGTGCTAATTAGAACTCACAGGTGTCTAAGGCTCTGATACATTGGAGAAGGTCAGTTTATTAATTTACAATGAGAAACAACTGCCAGAAGGCCCAGGTACTCATACTTGCCTGACCAGTTCATTGTTTCCCTGTATTGGACAACCCACATGGGAAGCCAAATTATAATCAGAAGGTTGCTTGGTGAGCAAGGAATTGGAGCAAAAGACGTTTTCTAATATGAATGTTTAATGACATCAAGCAAGGATAGCCTGATTCATTCATCTTCTATAACCCTGCCATAGGTGGTAATTCTCAAGAGTCTGTTGACAGAGACACTGTCTCCAGAACAGTGCTTGAATTAGGCATTTCTTCAGTTTTCTTATAAGATTGTTTCTTTATATTTCCATTTCTTTTAATGGATACATACATTCCTTCTCAAAAAGTTACTATCTTCTTTCAGGTTGTATAGAAAGGTGTTTCTGCCCTTGGAATTGTTTCTTTTTAATGAGAATCTGTTTATTTTTATCTTGATTCAAGTGAGGACATACTTATTTCCCAGTTCTCTGGAGAGTACCTCACTGTTATGTTAATGGATTTACTATAGGGACTCTTTGGTTATTAATCTAGAGCTCCCCAGGTTCCCCCAGAAAAATATAGAATTACTGTATTCATTTCCTGGGGCTGCCATATTAGATTGTCACAAACTTAAAACAACAGAAATTTATTCTCTTAAAAGAGGCTAGAAGTCTGAAACCAAGGTGTTGGCAAGGTTGGTTACTTTTGGAGGCTCTGAGGAAGAATCCATCCCTCTTTCCCTGTCTCTTTTCTAGTTTTCAGGGTTGCCAACAATCTTGTGCTTTTTGGCTTCCAGGTGCATCACTTCAGTTTCTGCTTCTGGCGTCACATGGCACTCTCCCTACATGTCTGTCCAGATTTTTCTCTTTTAAGACAATAGTCATGCTAGATTCAGGGCCTACTCTAAGCAATATAACCCCAGTTTAATTAAGTCTGCAAAAGACCCTTTTTCCAATAACGTCACATTT